CCCCAAAACCCCAAAACCCCAAGGAAGTGTTTTAAATAATAAATAGATATAGGTAAATAGTATGGGATAAAAGAATTTTTAATTTTGTTTGCAGTACTTCAAATTAATTTTATATAAATAATAATGCAGAATAAGCAAGGTGACAAAAATATTCACAAACAGCTGGAATCCTATATAATCAATTCTAATACTAAAAGCCGCACCAGAGATCATAGAGCTGTGATAAGCTCTGCTAGACCATTTTGTAGTACATCAGATAGCAAGAAGGATAATTAATCATGAAAATAGACGATTGAAGATGAAGACCGATAATAAGATTAAAGTTTATATACTAAGACTTAAACGATGAATAAGCAAGTGGTTTTAGATTAAAAACCTTAAAATTCAAGAAATTAGGAGGAGAAAAAACAATAATACTACTACTTAAGTTAATCATAAATCGAAAAGATAGCAATGGAGATCAAATGTCCTTCTAATAAAACTGGACAGGAAGCATAATTGATTAAGTAGAGGAAAAATATATTCAATCAACAAAGAGAATCCTAATAGGAATAAAAAAATCATTATGGGAGCTCAATATTTCATACACAATCATCAACTAAAGTGACCAATGAAGGAAATACCTTAAACTATCTAGCAGCCTCGCCTTAATTGAGTGGGAGACTAAGTGGGATTCCAACCAAGAAAGAATCAACAGGATCAATGAACATCTAGGCAGCTGAAATTAAGCATAACTAATAGCCGAATGATCAACAAAAAAAGAGTACCCTTAGCCATCATTCTAAAAGAAGCAAGTATTCTAAGCATTCACTAAAAAGCAACAATGCTAAAGGAAGTGTCAATTCAATTCTCTAAGATAGTAGCTCATATTGGTCTAAAATCTTTGGTTCTTTCAGTCCAAAAGTTAAAGAAAACTAATAAATTTAAATACCTGAGGATATTTAAAGAACACCTTTAATGTCAACAAGATCTCTAGCAAAGTCAGGTACTAGGATTCAATAGCCTATGCCTTAATAGCAATAAATTTGTGAGGAATCCTACTATTCAGAGGTTAAAATAGAAGTTGTGAATGATTAGTCAATGAAAATAGATGAGATTCTAAACATTATAGATAACCAGAGTGTAGGTAATCCATCTGTGGTTATGAATCAAACTAGATAAAGGAATGGTAAAATGGCTGATACTCTTTTAACTGATTAAGAGAAAATAAAGCTTAATTTAACTTTGGATTAGGATAAAGATATTGAAATCAAAAAGATAGATGTTGCAAATAAAATGTTGTATAATTAAGCATTCCCTTAAAGATAGCCTGCCACTCTTATGCATCTTAAGAATTTCTTTCAGTCAAAATTTGGTTTCTGATAAGCTCCATTACTAAAATCTGAGAGGTTAGCAATAAGAATTATCTGATGATAATTTCACTAAACCCTTTATATAAGAGGATTAATTTTGTATGTTAAAAGAAAAACTATGAAATTATGAAACATAGAAATATTTATCTTAATAATTATGGTTTTATATATCTTAATTACTAATTTATAAACCTTGTTATGATTTTACCTAATGGGGTTTTGGGGTTTTGGGGTTTTGGGGAGATCGGAAGAGCACACGTCT